ATGTGGTTTGTTTTTCTGAGCATGGGTTCTGTGCTTGCCCCTTCACCTGTGTTCTCTCATTTAATCCTTATGCCAGCCTGGTAGGTCATAGCTGCACGCCTCCAACCCCCTTTTTTAGCACAAAGTAACATAGCTAGATAGTAGCAGAGACAGGACTCAAAGCCATGTCTGTCTGGCTTTTGGCCAGCACTCCTTTGCAGGGAGACAGGACCCCACGCCTGTCTTCAGGATATGTGTGCGTAAAGTCAGAGCCTGCTTAGCAGCCCACCGCGCATGGAGGCGGCAGCACAGCATCATGAGGGCATGAAATAGCCTTGTGTGCTGCGTGCTCCCTAATGTACCCCCTTTTCTGTCCACACCCTCCATCCCCCACTCTCCTGCCTCCTTTTCCCACCAGGGGCTCTTTAGGCCCCGCCATCTCTGGTGTTGCTGTGACCTACACCTGAGCTGTGCCTGCTGCCCCTCCACCAGCCCTCCCCCCTCAGGCGCCATATGGTAGAAATGAATGTTAGAGAGAATGGATTGCATTTTGCCTTGGCATCTTGCTCCAACTGAGTTCTTTCCATCCTTAGTCAAGAGGAGATCAGTCACCCTAGGGCTGTGCCTGAGCCACTCTGTGGCCTCTGAGGGAACAGCTACAGGCCCCTGGAGAGAACAGCCTTGTTGCCATGGGAGTGGGTACCTGGCTCACCATCCAGGAGGGACTCAGAGGCAACTCTGTGTTTCTTACCTGCAGAGAAGTCTTGTGTCTCCCCAATTTAACTTGACCCCCTAGCACCACCACCACCGCCACCAGACAAAACTGGAAGCACAGTGGAGGAGTACAAAGTCCCAGCTCTGGAGTAACGTCTCAGCTGTTCTTTCTCACACCCACAGCCACTCCGTCAGCATGTCCTGTCAGGGCAGTGTCTAAGATAAAACCAGGATGTGACCTCTTGTCACCCTCTCCTGCTACCACCCCACCAAGCCACTGTTGTCTCGCGCGCTCTGGGTTGGTGTCACGGTGGTGGTCTCTAACTGGTCTCCCTGTTTCCCATGACCCGGTCAGGCTGCTGTCAGCACAGCAGCTGCGGTGAGCCTGCGCCGCCACCCCCAGGCCACTGCAGGCAAAGGTGGAGCCCTCACCCCTGCCACAACCCCCGAGAGATCTGACATGTCCACACGCCCCTTCCTTTCTCCAGGTTTCTGTTCCCCTTCCAGACCGCCTTATCTACAGTCACAAACCCCACTTCCAGCCCTCCTCTTTATTTTCCTGCCTTAGTGTCACTTATCGCAGTCTGACATGCTCCATCTTTACCCCTCCCCTCAACCCCCCACCCTCACCAATAGAATGTAAGGGAGGCGAGGATTTTGTCTGTTTCTTCTCTGGCCAGATGGGTCTGTCAGACAGCAGGAAAGATGAATAAATTTTTTTCTGTGTTTTTTCCCTATCAAGTTAGATGTGGAGCCCGGCTGGGCGTGGCTCAGCGGTTAAGCGTCAACCTAGGATCCAGGCAATCAGGGTTCGATTCCCGGTCAGGGCACATGCCCGAGTTGCGGGCTGCAACCGATCAATGACTCTCTCATCATTGATGTTTCTATCTCTCTCTCTCCCTCTCCTTTCCTCTCTCTGAAATCAATAAAGATATATTTAAAAAAAAAAAAAATTAGATGTGGAATAGCTCTTTTAATGTATCTTATTCCTTTAATTTAAAAAGAAAAGATTTTAGACTCAGATTCTAGGGCGAGGGGATGATAGACAGAGAGCAGGAGCCACACTTCTGCTCTAGCCCAGAATCTGAATCCATCTCAGTCACTGCTGTTTGAGGCTGCTCCCCAAGCATGACCGGCATGCACACCCCCTTCTCCCTGTCTTGTCCCAGAGCCCAGCTGTGAGTCACATGGCTTCTCCCACGTCCCACTCTGCTACGTTAGCACAAGTCTCTTGACACAGGTTTCTCTTTTATTTCTGAACTTTTGATATAAAAGCAATGTGAATATGGAAGAATGTTTTAAACCATCATGACATAAACAGTCTACTTCCCCAATCCATAATTCCTTTCATCAAAGGTGGCCCTTATTAATAGTCACATTTCCTTTTAGGGGGAAAAAAACACACATAATACCAGCATAAATATATATCCTTTAAAATGGATGTGAACAGAATCATGGTGTGCATGTTACTCTGCCGTTAATACAATTTGGAAATCTTCCTATATTAGTCCATACAGACCTACCTTGTTTTTAGTAAATGCCTAATGTTGCATAGTACCATGATGTATATGCCCAGCCCCATATTAACAGGCATTGGTTTCTTTCTGGGTTTTTGTTATGACAATATTACAGTAAAGATCCATATACGTCTTGGCACATGTCGCAGTAATACCTGTCAACACATACCTGGCGGTTAAAGGGCCTGACATGTAAAATTTTGATAGATATTGCCAAATGGCCTCTGAATGGGTGCATAGTTCATTCTTCTAGAGTATGTTTTCCTCCAACTTTTTATTTCAAAAAGTGTTAAACCTACAAAAAGTCTAATAATTTAATGAATACCCAAATATTCTTTATTTAGTTCACCAATTATTGTTCCCACATTTATTAGTTTGCTAAAGCTGCCACAACAAAATACTGCAAAATAGGTGGCTTAAACAACAGATGTTTATTTTCTCACAGTCCTAGAGGCTGGAAGTCCTAGGTCAAGGTGTCCTCAGATTTGGTTTCTTCCAAGGCCTCTCACCTTGGCTTGTAGATGGCACCTTCTCACTGTGTCTTCACATGGTTACCCCAGTCTCTGTGAGTGTCCTGATCTCCTCTTATAGGGATACCATCATGTTAGATTAGGGTCTACCTGTATGACCTCATTTTACCTTAATTCTTTTAAGGCCCTGGTTCCAAATAGAGTCACATTCTGAGGTACTAGGGCTTAGGACTTGAACATATGAATTGGGAGGGGGAGACACAATTTGGCCCATAACACTACATTTGCTTCTCTTTATATAGTATATATCATATTAATATAAATAATAGATTTATTATATAATTATTTATATTTGTTGTACTTGTTATTTATAATGATAATGTATTATGATTATACCATTTATAATATGTTTATTGTATATAACTATATCATGTGTAACTTTTCTCCTAAACCATTTGAAGGTAAATTGCAGCCATTCTGGTACTTCAGCATGTGTCTCCTAAGACTGAGGATTTTCTCCTTGGGCTCTGTTTTCACATTTTTTATTTTATACTGATGGGAAGAGATTCCCCTGAGGCAGAAAAACAAATGAGCTTGACATGGCTCCAGCCCTGACTGGGGGCTTTCCCTCCAGACTGTTTTGTCCTGGCCCAGTTTTCTCCCCCTTGCTGATCCCCCAGCCCCTTGGTGACACTTGGGTGCTGTGGGAAGGAGGCTTCCTGCCTGAGACCCATTTGCTCGAGCAGAACCTCTTGGCATCAGCTCCAGACTCCTTAGCATTGTTGATGTTTTGCATGTGTGATATGTCAACAGAATGACAGACCACCTTACAATCCCACCTGCTATTTGGTCTCTAAAATGTCTCTCTAAACACCAGGCTTACTTCATTTCTCTGTACATGGTCCTTACTTTGCAAACTGCAGACTGCCTGTATTCATTTAGAGAAGTCGGGTTTATTGATTGGACGCCGTTTTCTCCCTGCCTGTCTCCCTCCTCCTCTCCCCGCTCCCTCTTTGGCAGCTTGGGGCTCTGCAGGATTCACTCCTGCCTGCTACCAGTGGTAACTTGGCATCTGCCACGGGCTCTTGTCCATGTCTGGTTCTTCCCAGTACTTCGTGTGGGACATCATCACACGTGCACACTCTGCGTGTTTGTTTCAGTAAATAGAATCCTTGTGGAAATAGTCTGCCTGGAGCTTCACTGGAGGACAGGGCACTCAGAAACCTTTGTGCTTTCCTCTGTTCAAGTGGCTGTGTCTGTAGACCCAAGTGAAGGTGTCGATCTGGGGAGTCCTTTACCCTCTGAGGTCAGTCAGGCTGTGGCTGAGTGAGCACCCGCCCCTGCTGGCGGTTCTGTGGCTAGGAGTCCCACCGCCACCTGGGAGTCCCGCCACCTGGTGCTGTGACAGAGCCAATGTCCGTCCTCAGCCCTTGCCACCCCAGGAACCCAATTCTGAATCTACCCAATTCAGAGCCCTTTTCTAAAACACAGTTCCCACCATATCTTTGACTTTGCTTAGCATCTTTCCTGCCTTTTTCTTCCCTCTAGGACTCAGTCCAGATTCCTTAGCCTGGCATTCAAGACCCTCCCTCATGTGGCCCCAGCTCATTTGTCTCCCTTGTTACCTGCTATAACAAAGCCAAATCAAATTATGCCAATCACACTGTGCCGTGTTATATCCCTGTACCTATGAGCTCATGGTGTGCGCTCTGTCCAGAATGTAGCTCTCTCCCCTCCCTGATCCATTTCTAAACTACCCAGCCTTCAGGACCTTTCCCTCACCAGTGAAGCCTCTCCTAGCTGCACCCTTCTTCCACCCTTCTCTTGAGCCCTCACTCTGCCCCACACTTACCTCTTCTCCAGCACTTCCACACATTGGTTATGTGCCAGCCCTCCTGCCCAACCACTGCCTTTGCCAGTCTCTTCAGTGGCTCCCTGGGAGTGGCACTCAGTGAGCCTTGGGGTGGGTGGCTGGATTTGTCGTTGGGGAGAGTACATCCCGAAGCTAGAAGTAGTTACATCCCACTTTGTGGTTTCCAGTCCCTATCTGAGAGCCTTGTCACAAAGAAGAAAATATGATTTTCCCACACACTGTGAGGAGTCCTTCTTCGTAAGTGTCCGTTTCTGAAGAGTCTACCAGTCTGCAGCAGGACAGGGCCTCTGTGACCTTCACGGCTGTGACCTTCATACATTGCCACATATTAAAAGAGCAAGTAATGTGACATTGTAAACAGTGCATGTGCTCATAACCCAACTTGTTATATGCACTTCTCTCTGTTATCACTGTGGAAAGCTACTGAATGTGTGTCTTTTCTTTCAGTCAAACGCTTCCGAGAACCAAAGCATGAAAGACGTCCATGGAGGATATGGTAGGTATTTAAGTATTAACTCAGTCCTGGAATGCTTTTATGGTTGGGGGCATGGCGGTGGAATGTGAGCAATTATACATAACAAAGTGTTAGACTCCCTTAAATGAGTGAGTCGTTAGGAACTATGTGTAATATGAAAGCATTTCTGTTTCTCAGATGCATGTTGGGCCTACCTTTATTCTGTCATCACTCTTGTCCGATTTTAGAAGGTGGGAGATAACACCTATATCAGTCTGGGTTGCAGCCTCCTGTAGTTAAAGGCTCCCTGTTAGATTATGTTAAACCCTGGGATTCTATAGTCTATGTGCATAAGCAAAAAATAATCTAAATTTGGAGATTAGTCAAAAACAGCATGTAAATGCTCTTCTCCCCAAACCTAGTTTTTCTCGCTCCTCAGTTAACCCTGTGGTGACCTCTTTTCCTTCATAAAAATGGCAGTAAAGCTTCAGGTGTGGCTTCTATAGACAAAACTCAAAAAAGAAATTACTGGGAAGGAGACAGCCAGCTCTTCAGGACATGATGCCCACAGAAGCCGTCTTTCTTGGGCTGCCTTAGGCTGGTTCCTGTCCTAACAAGATAGCCATTTTCCCCTCCACAGAAAACATCTGATAAATCACTGTGATAGAGGCCTCTTTATAAAACTTTAAGGACATACTTGATTGATCTTTAATGCATTATTTCTGGATGTTCATAGCTCTTACTTGTATTCTCTCCCCAGCGGTTTCCCTAAAATCTGAGTTTCGAGCCTGGGCCGAGGGACCTAGGGAGGACCAAGGGTTGGGGCGCTCTGTGTTTTACACATGTAGCCCTTTGGTGACTCCTACTTTGCCATGATTTAGGAACTGATTTTCAAGCTTCAGTTGTAGAGTTGGTTTGGATCACCTCTAAGGTCTAGTGCAGCCCTAAGACCCGTGGCCAATGTCTCATGCCTGTGTGCCCATTCATCACCCCCCTTCCCTGGCCAAGCCCCACTCTGAATGCTCAGCCTGGGGGGCTGAGAGATGGCCACAGTCCAAAGGCTCCTCAGCCACACACCACGAGTTGTCTCCAGGTGTTCATGGCAGAGGAGGAACTGAAGGGCCTCATTGTCTCCACCTGCTCCTGGGATGTGGACGGGCTGGACTGGGGGAAATGACAGGGTGTCCCAGCAACTAACAACCTCGTTTTGTTCTTTCTGAAACTCCTGTCCTCTAGCCCAGGGGTCGGCAAACTCACCTGTGCCCGTTCTGGCTCTCCCTTTTCATAAACTGCTATAGGAATGGCAGTGATTGTGGCTGCTTTTAGGCTACAGTGGCAGCGTTGAGTAATTGCTGCAGAGAACCACGGCCCACAAAGCCTAAAATATTTACTCTCTGACCCTTCACAGAAGACATTGCCCACCCCCGATCCCAGCCCTCGTTAACCGGCAGCAGCTGACCGTGGCTCGGCGTCGGCTGCAGTCCAGGGTTTCGCAGGGCTGGTTAGTCCTGCACAGCAGTTAGCTCCTGGGAGTGCATCGAGTGGGGGCACCTTGGACTTCACCACAAAGTTGGCATCAGGCATTTTATTTTGAAGTAACAAAAAGTAAAGTAAAAGCATATTTTATTATTTTATTTTTTTTATCCCCATTGAAGGATATTTTTTCCATTGCTTTTCAGAGAGCGGGGAAGGGAGAGAGAGAGAGAGAGAAACATGGGTGTGAGAGAGACAACAAGTGGTTGCCTCCTGCACGGGGCCCGGGGGCCGGAGCCTGCAACTGAGGTGCCCTTGGCTGGAATAGAACCTGGGACCCTTCAGTCCTCAGGCCAATGCTCAAACCACTGAGCCAAACTGGCTAGGGCTGGAAACATATTTTAAATGTGTGTTTAATGTGTTTAAATATTCAGAGTGAGGCAAAAATAGGTTTACAGTTGTGAGTACACGAAAGTTTATTCTTGTATTATTTATTAATTGTATTATTTTCTGTGTTAACAACTGTAAACCTACTTTTGCCTACCCTGTGTGTTATTAATCAGTGGTCTTTTAGGAATTTCAGTGCAGTGTTATTGAAGGTTTTGAAAAGTAGCTGAAACACCAGGCCCGAGTAAATATGATGCCCCAGGAGGAGGTGCCTGGTAATTGAAAGCTGGGGTCTCCCAGTGGCTTTTTCCTACTTTAGACTTAACATTTTTCCCAGATTGGATATTGTCCTCCTGTCGGTGTGATCACAAGTACCGATCCTATTTTGTACAGGTTTTTAGACACTTCCAAACAAGCCATAGGAATGCTGTTCATCCACTTTGCCAATGTGTACCTAGCAGATCTCACCGAAGAGGACCCTTGTTCACTGTAAGTGGTTCATATTTGAGTACAAATGTCACCTTCCCCATCACCGAAAATGTTAGCTGGCCTCGCTTTCTGCTGCTGGTCATGTTTCCTCCAGCTTGGGGAAGGGCAGCTTGCTTTTCCTCCAGCTTGGGGAGGGGGCAGCTTGCTTTTCCTCCAGCTTGGAGAAGGGCAGCTTGCTTTTCCTCCAGCTTGGGGAGGGGGCAGCTTGCTTTTCCTTTGTGCTTGGGGAAGGGACAGTTTGCTTCTCTGTGCTTGGGGAGGGGGCAGCTTGCTTTTCCTCTGTGCTCCTCCGAGAGAGCATCCTGTGAGCTCAGACACACAGCTTAGTTGGCTGTTGGGGCTTTACCTGGTGATAGTTGCCCCGTGCATGGGCTTTCTGCCGATCCATCTAAGTTCTGTTTCTTGGCTTTCTAGTACTCCTATGTCTCCCAGTTCTCAAGCAGCCCCTTGCTGGGCAGCATAATGCCCCAAGGAGTGTCTCTGTGCTGGAACAAGACACACGGGGCTTCTCTGTGCTGTCAGCCACTGAGGGTCAAAGCCATTTTTGACCGTCATTGACCTCTTGACCCGAAGACCGTGTGTTGTTCTCCTTGTCAGTGTAGTGTGCCTTCCACACAGCCCCCGAGCAATCTGCCTGAAGCCCCTGTTGGGCCATGATGTGCTGTCCTCCTTGCTGACAGCGCCTGAGTAGTGCCTCACTTAGCAGATGGAGTGGAAAGGAGGCTCACCTGCCTTATCCTGACTCCATCTGCTACCGTCCTGGCTCAAACTTGGTGCCTCAGCCATGGTGGGCTACTCCTGGTGGCTCTCCACCCTGACAGCTGTCTCCTACCTCTGTGCATTTGTCAGCTGCCCTCTGCCTGGAATGCCCTCCAGCCCTGCCCAGTCTCTTTGGGAGAGTGGGGTGGAGGGCTAGTGAGTCCCTTGCCAAGAGGTTTCATGGGTATTTAAGACCATTTGAACTGGAAGAAGCGTAAAGCTTCTCTTTTTTGGTGACAGTGTACAGTTTTGAGATTTAGTAAGACCTAGATATAGTTGTGATCTGTTTGGATGTTTGAATGTAGTCCCAAAGCAGGGGACTGGAAGGGTGATCGTCCTGCAGGGGAGATGGTTAGGAAAGGGCCTTGTCTTTCCAATCCTTGAGCCCAGCAACAAGCTCATGTCATCCTCTGGTGAATCATTTTGATGTCACTGGTGGAGATAGTCTGAGAGCCAGCTCTATGCACTAGAGACACCGGGGAGAGAAAACCTAATTCTCCCTTGCATCAGCAAAAAGAAAATGAATCAGCTCTAAATGGGACATGGACAAACTAAATCACAGCCAGGATGGAAAAGGGGCTGTTGACAGATCTCGAGTGCTTGACCTGGAGGAGAAAAGGCCCGAGATAGAGCTCGGGGTGGTAAAAAGAACACTTGACGGAGAGCCAGACTGTGGGAAGGCAGCTTAACTTTAGTTTCCTCCTCTGTCTTGTGTGTCCTGTCAGATCCCCAAGATCATCATGAAGGTTTCATCAGATGAGGAGTATAGTGCCGTTGGAAACCATAGGGGCAGTTACCAATGAAGATGTTAATAGTTCAGTTAGAGATTATTGTCATTAGAACTTAAGGAAGACATGAGAGCTCCGGCAGTCTGTTGAGGAGCTGCTAGGTGGGAGGCTAGAAGGCAGAGCAAGCATTGCTCCTGAAGTGAGAGGACCTGGGCCTTGAGCAAGAGCAGGTGCTGCCCTGGGATTTCCTCCAGTCCACCACTGCTTTGCCCTGTGACTTTTTACAGGTGGAATAAGGATTGGGCTAGACCGGGGGCACCTTGGGAGTCTGCAGACCTAGAAGGGGAGCCAGTTTCTACTCAGGAAGAGGAGAAACTTAAACAGAGGGGGATGAGCTGCTTCCTGTGGCTTCAGGGGCCCCTTGTTATAAGGATGCTACTTTGGGTGGGAATTGAGCTTTTTTGACATCAGGGTTCAGTGACTCTGAGGGCCTATGATTCTGAGAACACACTTGTGTCATGTTTACTCACTGTGTGGCGGGTACTGTCTACATTTATTGACTCATTCGATCTTCATATATCGATACAGCCCTGCAATATCGATACTTTGATTTCCTCATTTACAGTTGGGGAACTGAGGCACAGAGAGATTATATAGCTCACAGCTAAAGAGTAAGGGAGCAGGGATTTGAACCCACCCAGTCTGGCTCCTGGGGTCACATCATACTGTGCTGTCTGCCATGGTGTCTCACCTGTATTGGTTTCAGAGTATAGAGCTTTCTATCTTTATCCCAAGGCATGGCACACTGTAGGCTCAAATAAATAGTTGGTGAGGGAACGAGTGAACTAACGTATGTACAGGCATACCTGAGATAGTACAGGTTTAGTTCCAGACCCCGCAACAAAGTGAGTATCACAGTAAAGCGAGTGGTAATCTTCTTGCTGGTAGAGGGTCTTGCCTAAGTTTGTAAAAAATGTAACATCTGTGAAGCACAATAAATTAAGGTATGCTTGTATGTGTATTAGTTGTTCATGCTTTTCAGGATGGGTCTCAGTTGTGAGAACCACTTGAAACCAATTAGATATGGGCATCTAAGAGCAGCATAGCCTGGGGCCAAAGCTCAGCTGTGAACTTGGAAAAATTGCCTTGGAAGCAGTTGCTCTTCCTTCCATCTCTGGTCTGAGAGTGACCCCTTGTGATTTTAAAGAGGAAGGGCAGGCGGGAGAAGAGGTTGCCCCTCCTTCTGGTTTTCTCACCATTCCAGGGCCCTGATCACACAGAGCAGAGTGTGCACCCTCTGGTGTCAGAGAGCTGTGCGCATCTTGAAGCCCAGGCCTTGGAGTGGGGCTCAGTCTGCATAAAATGCCTCAAGTCTCAGCAACTTGAAAGCACCACAGGTGGTCTATGGTCTGAGCCAAGTGGCATCTGAGAGGGCTAGAGCCTGACCCAGTGACTGCTTAACTTCTGCAGTCTGGAGAGCTGGGGCCTGTGGTCAGTGGTGCCCAGTGAGATCTTGGTACAGGGCCCACGAGAGAGGTCCATTGGGCGAGGGACTTTTCCTTGATAAGGAAAGACATGTGAGTCAGACAAGTGGAAACAGACCTTACAAGAACACATGGTCAAGGTAGGCATGCTCTTCTGCCTCTCCTCCTCCCCTTCTTCCATCATCTGGCTTTTTCCATGGGAAGTAAAGCTTTCTCCTTGGAAATATTGACTAGCATGTGTCTCCATGGCAGGCTTGGAAGCACAGGGATGAATGAGGGCCGTGTGGCCCTGCCCTCTGGTCTGACAAATCCCCGATGCCACTTCCTGAGCTTCAGGGTCAGTGGCACTGACTTGGGGCCTTGGGTGGGCTGAGCTGTCAGGGAGTGAACAGAGGCATTGAGCAGAGTTTATTAAGTTCTATTTTCCTGTTGACTTCCTTGGCTGCTTCCATCACTCTGTCTTATGCCTTAATTCATTTGATGGGAACACTTGTAGTCTTTAAAGTTTCTTTGTCTCCCCTCCACCCCTCTCTCAAGCTGTCCAGCCCCTGAAGAGTGTCTGCACACTGGGGTGCTTCACCGGGGCTCCCAGAGTGAGCACTGCGGCCTCCTGCACAGGCACAGAGTGCTTGTCATCAGCGCTGACTGTGGCCCTGGTAAGCACTCAGGGCCCAACTTGGATTCTTGCTCTCTGATGGTGCCACTGTGCCCTCTCCTCACAGGTACCTCATCAACTTCCTCCTGGATGCCACCGTGGGCATGCTGCTCATCTACGTGGGTGTGCGTGCCGTCAGTGTCCTGGTGGAGTGGCAGCAGTGGGAGTCCCTGCGTTTTGGCGAATATGGTAACGTACCATGGACACTGATGGAGCATGGAGGGGGATTCCTAGAGGGGGCTCTGCTCCTTGTCCTGTACAGCCTTCCAGGCCATTGGATTCAGAGAAGGTTCAGGAGCTGGTGGCTGTCTCTTCTGTGGTGGAGGGGCTTGTTCTGGGCCTGAGCGTCATCCCTCTGTCAGTGTCAAAGTGTCTCCCCCCACCTGAGGCACGTGAGTGCTCACCTCACTGCTTAGGCTCCACCTTGGCAGCTGGAGGCACCTTAGATGCAGGGATGGGGACAACATTGGCCTCTTCCACCAGAGGGCACTGGCGGCCCCACCACAGGGCCATGAGGCCACTCTGCCAAGCTGCCACATCATTAAAGAGATGGGGGTGGCTGTTGGTTTGGGAGATGCTCAGTAGGGAGCTGCCCCTCTTTCTACTGCATGTCTGTGCTTATCCTCTTATTGGACCATTTTATTACTGAGGCTTAAAAAGTCAGGACTGGAGGGTCCATCCCCCTGGGACCATGTTGCTGTGCTACCTCCTAACTTCGGGCTGGCCCCCCACCCAGCACCTGACACACATAGTCACCGAGGACATCAGTTCCATCCTCACTCACAGATACATGACTTAAAGCAGGTGACTAGTGGAGGCTGGCCCAGCTTTGACCCCCTTGGGATGCAGCTTGGGTAGGAGGCTGCCACCATGCTTGTTCTGAGCACAAATGCAATGCCTTTTACTCTGTACTCCAAGAAACACGGCTAGATGTGGCCCCAAGAGGGCTGCAGTGAGAGGCACCTTCTCCGGGCTTTGCTACAGCCTGGTGATTCAGGACCCAGGGTTGGGGGACAGCAGCTCTCCCACCTCGCAGCTGGCCTGCTATCTGGAGGAAGGAGCACCTGTTGTTGGTGGGAACAGTATGAGTGGAACCTTTGCCATGAAAGGTGCACATGGGTCAGAAGGGAGGGGATGCAGGTGGAATTCCAGATCCCTTTCTCTTCTGGGCCTGAGGGCTGCTCACTCCTACANCATGAAAGGGTCAGAAGGGAGGGGATGCAGGTGGAATTCCAGATCCCTTTCTCTCCTGGGCCTGAGGGCTGCTCACTCCTACATGGCTCAGCATGTACTAGGGACTGACATTTTAAAAGGGAAGCCGATTTGAGGAGCCTGCTGTGAGTGCCTGGGGTATTTCTAGAAATCTTAGTAATTGTCTGTCTCCATTGAAGGGAGATGAGCTCAGGGGAGGGCTTTTCTTAGCTTTTCGTTACCTGATGCCTGATGAGTCACTGACCTAAGATAGTGTCCAACACACAAGTGTGCTCCTGGGGATCCAGGGAAGGCTTCTGAGGAGCTCCGAGTCGTGGGCTCCCCAGCTTGGAGGATGGAAACGGACCATAGCGTACATCGGCCAAAGCAGCAGCATCCTCGTTTGTAGGATAGGCACCCAGAGTGGTTGAGTGGTTGAGCAGGAAGCTCACCCAGCCGGTGCATGGTGGGGTGGGGGAGGAAGATGGGTGCCTTGTGGCTGCCACACTGGGCTCCTAATCCTCCCATCACCTCTAAGAACAGTGCTCAAACCGACTTTGCTGTTAAGATCCCTCCTGGAAGGGAGAGCTCTCAACTATAGCTCCCAGTGCCCGGGAAGTCACCTACAGCCAGTTGCATGCCACTCGGTGACCTGAGAGTGGAGACTGTGTCCAGTCCTAATGCTCCAGGCATTATGGTTCCACCTGTTCCCAGCGTACTGTCTCTGCATCCCCAAGAGTAGATTGGAAAGAAGAAGGCATTGGTTGTTTGAATCTCCTATTTCCATGCCACCCTCTTACCTATTTGGCCTGCCTTGCCCCTTCCTTTGGGAACCTGAGTCTTCAAACCAGGTGTCTCCAGATGAAGCTGCCCTTTACCAAGGACCATCCCAGTCCTCCCACACCGGGATGAGGAAGGAGAGCGTGTGTCCTCAGTCGCCTGATTTCTATTTCTACCAATTTCTTTTGTTTCTGCTGCTGTTATAACAAATTATCACAAACTGGTGGCTTAAAACAGCACAAACTTACTATCTTACAGTTCTGTAGTTCATAAGTCCGACACAGGTCTCATGGACTGAAATCTCTGTCAGCAGGCCTCGTTCCTCTGGGAGTCTAAGGGCAGAACCATGTCCTTGCCTTTTCCAGCCTCCAAGGCTGCCTGCATTCCTTCGCTGGTAGCCTCTTTCTCTGTCTTCAGAGCCAGCAACAGCAGGTTGAGGGTTGAGTTCCTCTCATATCCTATCGCTCTGACCTTCTGCCACCTCCTTTTACTCTGAAGTGCCCTTGTGATGATACTGGGTGCCCCCCCACCCCAGATACTCCAGGGGACTCTGTCTGTCTTAGAGTCAGCAGACTAGCAATTCCATTTGCACTCTTTAATCCCCTTCTTCCACGTTACCTGACACATTCACAGGTTTTGGGGACTAATATGTGGCTCTCTCTCTGTGGGGCCATTGTTCTATCTGCCACACCAGTTAACTGGCCGGCCACTTGAGGCGGTGATTCCATGTAGGCCCCATAGCGCTCTTCTCAGGTAAATGAAGAAGAGGGGCTTGTTTTCTAGGTGCTTCCATGGCCCCTAGAAGAGAAGTTGAACTTGCTAACAAGAACATGGGACTTGGGGAATGCCAAACACCCTGAGGGTGAGACAGGATCCAGGCGATACGTGGTGTCTGCAGTGCGGTGACCGGGCTGCTCTTCCCCATGCAGGACCCCTGAAAACAAGGTCTGTGTCCCACGGGCACCAGTGGTTTGTGGGCCTGGCCGCCCGTCCTGCCCTAACGCTCCCTTCTGAAGCCTCTCTAGATACAGACGTGTTCCCTCCTTTTGGCCCCTTTCCTGTGATTTATCCTGAGGACATAATTCAGCAAAGCAAAGCACTCATGTACCTGGGGGTGTCCATTGTGGTAAAAAGCATAACACAGCAAGAATGCCTGGCTTGTTTGTCCTTAAAAGGTGGGACCACGGGAAGCATAAGACTCTGAAATGGAACAGAAATCAGAAAAACCAGCACGTGCACTCATGATACACAGCAGGAAATGATGTAAGAGTGGGGTTACACTAGATTTTTTTCGTTTTTCACCATGTTTGTTTTTTTTAAACTTTCTTATTAAAGCATCTAAATGAAAAAGGCAATTGCAGCTAAGTTGTGGTTCTGAAACTCAGCAATGTGAGGGAGGAGGCAGATGGAAGGAAAACATTCCCTCTCCTGTCAGTCACTTAAAACTGGAGAGCAAGGGAGTAAACACACTCTGAGCAAGTAGGTTTCTTTTCATATTGAATGAGTGTTGCCACTTGTTCTGTTGACTTTTAAACACTCTAGTCCCCATTCAGAGATACTTCCTACCAGTGCTTTCTGTCTGACTGTCCCCAATCTTAATGGTTTTTAACAAATACTTTGATCTGTTGTTTTTGAGAACTTGTCTCTGTAAGGTAAGGTAGTTTGCTGAAAAGATTACAAAACTCCACTGAAGATCTAGCTAGGAGAGATTGTGATTTTGAAATGACTTTTTGGCTCAAATGTGTCTTATTCCAGAAGTAGAAAAAGATAGGATGACCTCAGAAGAGGTAATGATGTCTTCAGCGTGCTTTCTGCACACTTCTCCCAAGGTTTTCCAGAAAAGGGAATGGCCGGGTGTTGATCCATTACAGCTGCATGAAGGCATTCCCTGTGCTTCCACTGGGTGCAGTAAGCAGGCTCGGACAGGGCTGGGGCCTCTGGTGCTAGGGCCTGGACAGGGATTGCTACGAAAACCATAGAATCAAATGAGAAACTGGAGATTTCTCTCTGGTCCAGATTCTTTTCTCAGCCTGGATTGGGGCCTTAGCCTGCCCTGAGATGTTACTCTCCAGCCCCTGTTCTGGCCAGCTATGGTCAAACAACCCTGGCAGCCTCCCCTACCCCCTCCTCTCCCCTGGGTCTCCCACTGGGGATGAACCCAGAGGCTCATCCCGTGGGTTCTGCCTGTCACTGAGGATGTAGATCTCTCCCTGGAGGGGCTGGTCCTCCACCCTTCATCATGTCCCTTTTGAAACATTCTGGAGGCATGTCAGGGCCTGAGTGTCCCCCAGCGTGGACTGGTGGGTTCCTACATTTCTCAAGCATAGTGACTGATGGGACCACAGGTGTACCGTTGTCAACCCTGAGGCATAGCCCATCACTCCTTACCTTGAGAACTTTTCTTCCTTGTTCCCAGCCCAAGGTGTTTTGGGGGACCCCATCCCAGACAGAATCTTTTAGAGCTGAGGCAGCAGGAACGGCAGAGGAGAGGGGGTGGGAGATGCACAAGGAGGTTGTTTGCTGCCTTCATAATTCGTAAACATTGGCCGCTCATGGGGCGGGGTGGATAGCACCACAGTCAATGGAAAAATAACAGTGGGTAATAATAGCAGTCTTGCTTAACACCGCTTCTGCTGCCAGCGGACGAAAAGAACCAGCTCTTCCGAGCTCCAGCAATAGGCACTTACTAACTTTAGTGCTTTTTAATTATATCTTAGAATCTCTTAAAAGAAAAGCCACTCTGGTATCTCCAAATTAGGAATTCTCTGGTTTTGTTTAAAACACCCACGTTTGTCTGTCTGGGCTGAGGTGATTCTTGGTGCTTTGGGGGCTCATTAAGTAGCTTTAGATCAGGGTTCTCGTGGGGGAGGGGCACTTGAGTGCTCCCGGGAGCTTGGGGAGTGGGGCGGGGCATCGCCAGCTGCAGTGCCCACCTGAGCTGCCTGTGACTAAGCGCCCACTCTCCCTGCAGGAGATACTCTGCAGTGTGGAGCCTGGGTCGGAGCCTGGGTCGGGCAGTGTGCTCTTTACATCGTGATCATGATTTTTGAAAAATCTGTCGTCTTCATCATCCTCCTAATTCTTCAGTGGAAAAAGGTTTGCCTCTTGTCTCTTCTTTAGCTCCTTGAGATGCTGAGACAGTACTTCCCTCGCCACTCCCCCTACTCCAACCCTACTGGAAAACCAAATTTATTGTTGTTGTTTTTTGTTTTTTTTAACTTAGTGAATACAGCCCGGACTTGGTCTGATATGGCAGCAATTGGCTACCTATCAAGAGCAGTAACTAGTCAGTTTTTTACATAGCATCATCCACTTCAATTACACAAATGTCTGCTTCAGATTAAGCCAATGAAATATACAAATCCAATGAAAATTCAGACCTGTCCAATATTAGTCTTCAGGCCTTGCACCTGTACATGTCCGACAGGTGTTCTTTACATTTGCAGATGTCTTCCTCAAACACACCTCTCTTGGCCACTTGTTTAACAGAACCTTTCAGTGCCAGAGGCAGCAGCTGGGCACACATTGTTTCACAGGTTCCTTCGGCCCTGCCTTCTGCCCTCTGCCCTCTGCCCTCTGCCCCCAGCACAGTGCAGATAAGCTTCCACTGCCCACTTCCTCCACATGCCCACATGAAAACAGCCAAAGCACCTTTGGAAATAAGTAGCTTGGCCATCCTTTGGTTTTATTTGGCTGAGTTTTATTTTTAAAGAAAATAAACCAAGGCTTTTTAGAGCTGTTGTCCTCCAGGAAGTGGTTGGGATGCAGGATTCCTGTTAGCAAGTGGCCCGGCACCTCATTGCTAGTATCTGTAATGACCTCACTCCCCATGTCCACATCACAGGGAGCACTAACTGCTCTAAGTGGTCTTGCAGCCCTGGGTATGAGGTGGTGGGGTGAATGTCTAAGCTAAGTCCCCCTCTTAGCACCTCATGGATGATTTTCCCTCCACCCCTCCTTTCAAGCACTCTCTCTGTGGCCTTTCTCCACCTCACCAAGTCTGCTTCTCTTTACAGGTGTCCCTGCTGAATCCCATTGAAAACCCAGACCTGAAACTGGCCATCGTCATGCTGATCGTCCCCTTCTTTGTCAATGTCAGTGCCTTGTTGCATTTTTTTACCCCAGTTTGTGCCCTGCCTTCCTGTGTTCCTGTGCAGAATTCTGAGTCTGACAGAGAAAACACCTCACAGCTCTCAGGCCCCTCTGTGTGAGCATTGGTCACCTCCCATCTCCACCCCAGACCTGGAAATGGCAAGATTGCTTCCTTGCCAGGCAGGGCCTCTGTACAAGGTGGAGGGTGCTAGGGACTTGGTCCTGCCCTCCCGGGCTTCTGCGGCGGGGGTCCCACCCCTCAAATAACAATGACTCCTAGATCAGAGTCATTAAGAATTCACCCGCATCAGCTATTCTCTACCACAGAGTTCCCAGAGAAACTCATGAGCACACTGGCTAGAAGCTAGGAGATCTGAGAAGAAACCAGAAAGGAACCTGGGTTTGACAGACATGGCAGAGTATGGTAGCCGATGGGCCCTGGGAGGAGCCGGACCAGGAGTCTGGAGACCTTGGTTCCGGGCCCGCTCTGCCAATGGCTGGGGCAAGGCCAAGGCAGGCGGTCCCATCAGTTACCACGTAACCTTGGGCTAAATAGGGCAGGATGTTCTCTGATAAGAAAGCAAAGGAAATAGAGGCTAGAAATCTCTTTTTCAGCTTCTGAGAGATAGCGGGAGGGTGGGGGGCTGGATAAGGTTCTCTCCCTGGTTTGGGATATTGTCATCTCCAGTGGGGTGGAGGATGGGGCTGGGCTGCTCTGCTTTGCTTTCACAAGGGCCTTGTCCCCGCGTAATCTGCACTTTTGCTCCCCACAGGCTTTCATGTTTTGGGTAGTGGACAACTTCCTCATGAGGAAGGGGCGGACGAAAGCTAAACTGGAAGAAAGGGGAGGCAGCCAGGACTCGAGGAACGGGAGCAAGGTCCGCTACCGAAGGGCCGCTTCTCATGAGGAGTCCGAGTCCGAGGTAGGGCCGAGCCCTCGTGCTGCTGACCTAAGGATCCTCTGGTCTCATGTCTCATGCCATCCAGGGGAGGGAGAAGAGGCTGACAGCTCCCATCCAGCCTGGACCCATTCCTGCTGTCCCATGGGCCTTCCCAGGGCAGGGAGGGAGAGCACCTGGTGGAGGTGGCTTCCTGCCACCTTCCCTATGCCAGTAGAGACAGGAAAGGGAGGAGCTGCCTTGTTCCAGGGAAGCTGGCAAGGACTCTCCTGGGCCTGACCGTTGACCTTTAAGCATTCAGGTGTTTGACTCCCTGCCCACCACTAATGAGCAAGGGAAGTGTTGGCCAAGCAGCTGGAAATTTCTAAAATGTAGGGGTCCTCACCTCTTATTTTCAAGGTTCCTAACTTAAAGTTTTGGACTTGAGGGAGACTCCTGGTTGTCAACAGGAGCATGAGGCCAGGTTGTGTGTTCTGGGCAGGCGGCAGCACTCAAGTCCTACTTCTGTGTCTCCAGAGAGGCAGGGCTGCCCTGTGAGAGCCCTTTGTTCAGCTCCCATGGTGTGCTAACCAGTGGGCTCGAGGGGCTTCAGAAATGGCTGAGAGAATGTCTTCCCCGGAGGCCTTCTTGCTTGTGGTTGAGGAGAGGGCAAATGCCTGACCAGCTTGTCATGACACTGCTGTAAGTTCTAAGATTGAGGCATTAGCAGAACCCAAGGACCCTGAGGCAGTCTAACTCTAGGGGCATCCTGAGGGAGTTTCGAAAGCTGGATAGATGGCAGGACAGAGGGTAAGCCCTGGAATGTGGCCTGGGGCCTGTCATATAAGAACCCAGTGAACATTAGGTGAATGACAGCATTGCCAGCAGAAGCAGCTGCTCGTGCGCAGTCATGGTCATGTGGTTTGGCGCTGGGGTAACGTGAAAGTTGCTATGGCCAGAGCAGCGTGTATTCCAGAGGATAGGACAGAATGACAGAAATAAGCTAGAGGCAGAGGTCTGAGCTAGATAGGCGAGACGCTTTGTGGTCCAGGCTGAGGAACTGAGGTGTGCTCATGCAGGTGGTAGGTAGCCAGAGAGAGTGTTTGATAAGGGGCCGGAAGCTGGAGTCAGGAAACCCTATAAGGGAGTGGCCCGGGGAGAGGTGGTGAGACTCTCTGGCCCGGAGTAGAATGAGTTCGCCTCACACAGGTGCACGTTAGGCCTCTCCATCCTGACCTGGGCTGTCCCAGTCCTTCCCTGGTGCTCAGAGGTCTGAGAGGGCAGTGGGGCAGTGAATGGGTGGGGATTCCCTGGTGCCCTGGCTGCATGGCCCAGTCATTCCAGGGGCTCACAGAAGCAGAGAGCTCCCTTTTGTCTTCAGAAGCTACAAAGTCAGTTCAGAACAGCTGCTCTGAAATCCCCCTGCATTGTGTGTGCCCCACAGATGTTTTCTTCCCCTTTTGAAAGGGGCTTTTCACTTTGCATTCGCTGGATTTGAGGCAGCTTGAAGGGCCTGGGACTCCATGGTCAACATCGGGCCATTTTGCCAGGCTGACCTTGGGCGGCAGGTCCCTGCGACTTTGCTCTAATTGGGGTTCCGCCACAGCTGGAGGATGGGGGAGAAGTGGGGAGCACCAGCAGATGGCAGGGCATGTCGACTCAGTGCTGGTTTTAGTAGCCCATGGATGGGGTCTGAGTGGGCCAGCTTGTCTCATTCTGTAAACGGGGCCTCCCCACCATGTTCTTTCAAAGAAATATAAGACTGAGGCCTCCTGGACGGGCTGCCCCCCCTTCCGTGCCGGGGTCCAGGGAGGGCAGAGGAGGAAGGCACCTCAGGGCAGTAACTCAGGGCCATGCCTCTCCACTGCCTCAGATCCTGATCTCGGCCGATGACGAGATGGAGGAGTCCGACGTGGAGGAAGACCTCCGCAGACTGAGCCCCCTGAAGCCTGCAAAGAAAAAGAAGCACCGCTTCGGGCTGCCTGTGTGACACTGTCCTGTGTGGGGGTCAGGTTTGGGGGCCCAGCCTGCTGCTCTGCAGTGTCATTCCTTCCCTCCTCTCTCTGCCCCCCTCTTCTACCTCCATCCTCTCGCTGTCTCTGCCCACTCCCGGATGACTGTGACTTGAGAGAGGGAGGAAGAGCCAGCGCCGAGCGGGCTGCGGCAGTTGGAGGTCCCCACTCAGTTGCACTACAAACACTGACCAAATATGCAAGCAAGGCGTTTTCTTCATTTGTTGTCGTCCCGACGGTGTTGTGAGGGGTCCAGAAGCCCTTTCCTGTGTTTGGCTGGGTGGCATTGAGGAAAAAGCTCTCCCCAGGGCTTGGGGAATGAAGACATAACATGGGGCTAAAAGTCACTCATTGACCAAGTTGGAACCGCAATGCTTTCTTACTCGAAATGGCTTTTGTAACTTGATTTCTAAAGCTGGTTTTATGGACTGTCACAGTGTTAATGTTTTTGAGTATGTGTTTATTTCCTATGGGACTAATGGGCAAAACACAGATTTTTAAGTCTTCCGTATGCTGTTGACTTTTATATTTTTAAGTTATATTTTCATACTATTGTATTTAAAAACTCTTTTTAATCCCCAAAGAAATGGGTTTGTTTGCCTTTCATGGGATGTGAACTGGTGGGAGGAAAAAGTCGAGAGTTTTTATTTGGAATATTGTTAGGTAATCTGTGATAGGATGGGGTAGCAAACCTAGTAGGAAGGGAGATGGGTCCTTATCTGAAGTCAGCAAACCCAGTGGTTCCGCAAAGGTCAGGCCCGAGCAGGAGGCAGCTGGTCCAAACTTGGATCCGGTGCCCTGTGCGTACCAGGGCCCAGCAGCTCCTTGGCATTTCTGCTGGCAGGGTAGAGGTCTTAGTTAAATGTGACCAAGATAAGAGGCTAAGAGTTCTATGTGTCCAGAGAAATTGAGACCACAAGCCCACTCCTGTTTGTTCCTTGCCTTTTTGCAGAGCCTCCAGGTCTGCAGTTTAACATTTTGTCTCCACCTCCTTGGCTTCCACTGGTGGTGCAGCCTCAGAACCTCTGGACCCTGCTACAGGTCAGGCTGCCCGGGCCTGTTATCTTGTCTATTGATTTTGCACCAGAGTCTGGAGAGTGCCTCTTGGACCAAGTGATCCTGTTTTTCGCGTGCTCGAGGGCAGTGGGGTGGCTGCACCCACAGGCAGGACAAGGTGCTTCTAAACTGTGTCCTCGCCTTGGGGAGTGGCCCCCACTCAGCCTGGGCACAGACCCTTATGGTTTTGGGAGTCTGCTGACTGCGGATGGGCTGACCCGGGCACTTGCCCTGCTGTGGAAGCAGCAAGGTGGAACAGCCAGTGATTTGTCACAGCCAGAGGCAGCCATGGAAGTTTAGGAACAGAATACTGCATTGCTAAGGTGTGAGCTGGAAAGGAGACAGGTGCAGGGAGGCCACACCACCCAGAACCTTCTCTGTAGACCTACATAAAAACATGTTTCACTTAGGAAGATTGGGTCTGAATTTGGCATGTGAGCCAAGCTGTTAAACCAGGCATCCTGGGCCTGTCCCCTGCCTCTCGCCCATCTTCTCTAGGAGTCCCCAAGCCAGAGGGCTGAGGGGAGCCGGGGCCTATGACTGCAGCAGGAGGTGACTCTGCCCTGTGGGCATCTCCGCTGGAGAGAAGAGGTGAGGTGGGTGGTGCCTCATGTAAGATTGGAGTCCATCTCTTGTCTTACATCACTTCTGCTCTCATTTTACGCCCCTCTCCCCCTCTCATCCCCTGGCTGTGTCAGTGGGTGTCTCCCCACTAGAATTGGCATTTGGGAAGACCGGGACTGATGTTCCTGCTAGACAGCAGTCCCTCGTGGCATCGCTGACTCCTTACTTTTTGCTCCTGTTTCATTTTGATTTAATAGCCTGTGCCCATTGCTGTTTCTTATACCTTCCTGAGCTCAGAATTGGAGCTTCATTTTCAATCTTGAGCTCCTAATGTTTTCACACTGGAGATGGAGTGGAAGAGCCATAGTCTGTGAAAGATGGAAACTGGGTCATATAGACTCAGGTGACCTGTCATCTCAAGGCTCATCCCAGCGCTACTGGGTAGTGGGTTTGGGGAACAAGAGGTTGTGAGTGAGTGGTGGTTTCTCCCTGTATCCTGATTTTCAGTAAGGGCTTTAGTCTCAGAGCTGCAGTTGTGGAGCTGGCTAACTAGGGGATGGTGTCTGATCATAGAGGGCCTTGTGCTATGTGGGCCTGGACATCGTGGCCTCACGTGTTTGGCCTTATCCCCTCCCCGAGTGTGTGCACGCACACGCACAAGAGTTTGTATTCCCTGGGAATGCGTACTGCGTCACGGGGGCCTTTTCTGTGAAGCATGGAGCGTGGAGTGCTGCCCAGAGAGCACAGATGCAAAGAGCCTATCAGGACTTCCTCCCGAGCTGTCCTCCCTCCCTGGGCAAATTTCTTCACCACCCTACTCCACGGTGCCTTACGAGGTGCATCTCTTCACCCAGCCACATGGCAAGCATCACTGTGCTTGAGAAACCATAGGACACCGACTGGATATTGTTCACTGTCCCTCTCATTTGTCAAAATCTGGATTTTGGCCAAGCCATCCACAGTGGGAACCTGCAAGTCAAGGTCATGAACAAGTTTCTTGTAACTAATGGAAATAACCTGATGAAGTAGAACCATCATATCTGAATGGAAGAGGTTATTGTGGCCTTTGTTTCCTTTTGCTATCAGTGGGATATAGACAATGGTAAGGAGGGATGTTGGTGAGATCCTGCCTGGTAACTGGCTTCTTGGTCCGCTCAGCCTGGAGACCTGCAAGGTGAAGGGCTGTGGCCCATCAGTTAGTCCTTGGGCAAACTGGCGGCCTCCTGTCTCAAGCTTTAACTTGTGCCCCTTCCTGGCAACAGGAAGTCCTGGATTAACATTGACCTGTGATGCCTCTAAAGGGAAAATATAGAAAGGCTCAAATCTAAGTTGTATCTTCCCCTAGGCAGTATAGGCCTATAGGCCGCTGCCTGGAGTCCCCTCTGACGGTGACACAGGACTGCAGCCCACTCTGCTCTCCAGACTGCAGTTCACTAGCCTTTTGCAGCCAGGCCAACATAGGTGGCACTGGGGACTTCCCATCAGCCAGAACAGCCGCCTTGTAGGATGTAAGGCTGGCTTTTAGAAGCTTCACACACTTCTGTCTAGGAGGGGAGAGCTCCCTGTTTTACCCTCTGAGACGCTGGCAACCTGAAGGGCTTTGTTCTTGGTGAGGGACTTCTGGCCTAACCATTGTCAGCACCTTGGGCTCCTGGGTAGGTGGGCTGGTTTAATTTGATTTCTCTCTTCATGAAGTTTACTAGAAGTCAGACCTATGTGAGCAGACCGTGGCCTACATCCACTGTCTGCCTGGCGGGGTGTTTAATTGGTGGTGTTACAATTCACAAAAACAAATTTTTGAGATGAAAGGGAAGATGATGTCCTTATGCTGTAAAATGGTTTACAATAAAGTTTGACTTCTTACTAGAGTTTTTTTAAAAAAGGAAACCATCACTTTTGTGGTTGTTGCTGTGTGTTCTCTGGAGTTGAAACAGCTTAGTGGAGTCAAGAAGATTTCCCCAGTGAATTGGAAGGTTCTTCCTAAGAAACAGTGAGAATGAACTTTACGTTGCCTCATAGCAGTGTGGGAACCAAAATCTGCTGAGAAAAGCCCCCAAACATACTCAAGCTGTTTATACTTCCCTGCTAATGTGAGGAAAAGCTCCCCTGGGGAGCAGGTAATGCTGGAGGTGGAATGTAAGGAGTGAACATCCCACATTCTTGTCCCTGAGGCCATAGGACCTGAAGGCAGGTACTCCCCTGGCAGAGCCCCTGTGGGGGCAGAGCCAGCTTGGGGACAGTGCTGAAGCACTTACCCAGGATTTGGGCCTCACAGGCCGGGCCTGCCCTCAGGGCCTCTTGGCCCCTGTTCAGAGTTCTGGGTTTCTGCCCATGGATGTCGAAGGCATTCCTCATGTCAGCATTTGTCTCAGATGGAGCCTGGCAGTCTTCGCATTGGCCTCCTGGGGTCAGGACCACACAGGAGGGGATTTGGGTGGGGTTTGAGGGATGACCAAATGGCAGAGCCTGGTTGGGCCCAGCTTGGAGCCTTCAAGGGTAAAAATAATCTCACATTACTGCCACCTGCACCCAGGCTTAGAGCCCTACAGGGTCTTCTCTTCAAGGGTGGGGTATCAGGAGCTAGCTTTGGAGAACTAAGTGACCTTCATGGGAGCCCTCGGACCTGTCCCTCCCTCCCCAGTTCAATACCTGCAATGGGCTTCACTCTCCTGCCCTCTTCAGCATCCCGAGTGTCCTCAGGCCAGGTGCCCTTTGGTGACCTTATCTCAGAGGCTCCCTGCTGTTTCCTGAGCTCACCCTCACCACGAAGCATGGCTTCCTCCTGGTCCTTCCTGGGCACTTTACCCTCTGCCTTCTTCGTCCCTTTGCTAAACGTGCTCTGGTAGCCAGACGAAGGGTAGGGCATCAGCAAAACCATGGATGGAGAGCTCCCCAGACTTCCCGTGGCTGCAGTCTCCACCTGTGAACCAGGGGTACACTGTCCTCCGAATTTACCAGGAGGGCCCAGGGAGCTCTCAGTGAGCCAAGTTCGAGAGACGGACATAGGGAGGGAGCTCCTGCCCTGCTGCTGTGCAGGGAGGGAGTCTCTTTCTTCTGGAATCCAGGGGAGGGTAGAAGAGAAAGAAAAACAAGCTCAAAGCGGTCCAGCCTGGCTCAGGACCCTCCCTTCCTCGGGGACACTCCCACACAAGGATGGATTGTCACAAATGGACAGCTCCCACTGCCACACACATTCCAGCACCTACGTTCATAAACACATAAGTTGCTGCCAGTCCCAGCACCTCCCTCTTAAAAGTAGAGCAGCTGTTCCTCAGGATGCAGGCTCCCCAGCTGTCTGTGTCACCAGGGCTGCAGCCCCCTGGGCAGAAGTGCTAGCAGTCCCCTATCATCTCCAAGAATAAACTCTGAAGCCAGTGGCTGTGTGGACCTGAATCATCGTGAGCCGGTCGGAGCAGGGGGAGTGACTTCCTAGGGCAGGCAAGCGGACTATATAAGCTCCAGAGGGCTGGGCACCGCTCAGATCTCTCCCACCAGCTACTGCCTGCCAGAGAGGCTTGCCTTCGGAGCAGCTCTCGCTCAACACCCACCATGTCCCAGGTAGGAGGGCCCAGTGTGTTGGTGCTGGGGGGCTGGGGGGATAGCTGGACACTGTCATCTCTGGCAGCTGTGTCTTGAGCTGAGCTCCAGATGTAAACATAGGAGGCTCTGCAGCCTCTGGGAGGCGGGGGCTCGGGGAGGAGTGTCCCTGCCCAGCTTATCCTGAGGGACCCTGTTTGGCTTGAGTTTAGCTGTATTCCATGGTTTGCTAGGAGGGGTAGGGAAAACGTATGTTGTACTTCAAGATCTTTGTGTGTGAGGAAGCTGCTTGTATGACTTGCAGTTTGTGCTGTGTGTGTGTGTGTGAGTGTGTGTACATACTTGTGTTTGTACACATGTGAGGCTGATCTGTGGGTGTACAGCTCTGCCCAGGTGTATCTCCAGCAGGATGAGACTCTGCGAGGTGTAGTTTGTTGCCCAGGAGCCGGGCCCAAGCTCAGGGACCAGGGAGTCTCCCTTTCCCCTTTGCCCACTGTGCTCAAGCTTGAGCTTGGCCAGGCAGGCAGACAGCACGAGGCCTCAGCAGCCACAGCGTCACAGCTCCCAGCCTGTGGCAAAGGACAGAGACGCGGTTGGGTAGGGGTGATGAAGAGTCAGGAAGGCTTCCTGGAAGAATGGGGCCTTGAACTGGCTTGAATTCAGTAAGCAGGAGAGAGGGGTCTCAGGGGCAAACAGGTGGGAGTGAGGTCTCAGCCTGAAGGCCTCTGGTTATAAGGTGAGGCTCTGGTCTCTCTAAGGCTGGCATCGAGGAAGCCCCCATCAAGAAGAAGCGCCCCCCTGTGAAGGAGGAGGACCTGAAGGGGGCCCGAGGGAACCTGGCCAAGAACCAGGCGATCAAGTCCAAGACCTACCAAGTCATGCAGGAGTGTGGTGAGTGTTCTCAAGGTGCCAGGGGTGCAGATGTGTGTCAGTAGGAGGAGATGGAGGGGTCCTATGGGTCCTTTCTAAGAGTCCAGAACTCCTGGGCTCAGGGGCTCCCCGCAAAAGGGGACTTCCCTTCCTAGGAAGCCGGGCTGAGCTTCTAAGCACACCTCTCACCTTCCCTATAGAGCAAGCTGGCAGTGCTGCCCCGTCTGTGTTCAGCCGCACCCGGACTGGCACCGAGACCGTCTTTGAGAAGCCCAAAGCCGGACCCGCCAAGAGTGTCTTTGGCTGAGAAGTGCACGCCACGCCACTCCCCTGGGCACTGCCAACACCTAGACACAGGAGTCTTTCCCAAGAACTTTCATGCCAGAACTCACCTGCTCCCCTGTTGCTTCTGGGATGGCCGCCCCTCCCCCATAGCCCTGGCCCCTCAGCCGGGAACTCTGCACGGCACCTGGGAAACACCAATAAAGAGGATGCCCAAGCAGCCCCAACCTTTTGGGTGTTGGTTGGAACTGGCCATGGTCCCTAAGTGCGGGGGGGGAGGGCAGTGTGTGGGGGGGCATATTCTGAACCCTTCATTTCTTTTGGGAGGACCCTAGAGGATGCTGTCATGGCCACTGCTACATACTTGAATAGAGCCTTGGATATGGAGATCTGGTGCTGATATTTGTGGCTTCAGACCATCTCTCCTCTTCTGAGGCTCAGTTTCCCCTTGTATTTAACAAGAGAGCTGAGCTAGAGCCTATTGCATGAAATAGGCCACAGTGACACTTCTCCGAGTGAAGCAGGTGGGGGCATGGGGCTTCCCCTCCCCCTGCCTTCCACAGAAGCCACTGAGATGCTGCTAATGACCCCAAGGCGTGCAGGAGCCAGGGACCTCACAGGCCTCCTCCTGCCTCCTTGCCATGCTGCATCCCTCAGAGACAAAGCCACCTCAAGGCTCTTTGGCAAATGGCAGTCTGCTTCCTGAGCTACTCCCCCTTCTCTCAAACACTGGGTGAACCTCCCCCTTGGCACTCCCACAGCTCCGCCTGAGCCATGGGAACTCCAGGTACTGGGCTCATGTGAGATCCTTTCATCTTCAGGCCTCAGTGTCCCCTGTGTGCATGGAGCTTTTGGACTCAGGGGACTGCAGAGGCCTGTCCAGCTGTGACAGCAAGATCACGGGCAGTCCAGGGCTGGACTGGCAGGGCCTGGGCTCGCAGTGCCTGGCTCAGGGCTGTCCCCTGGGCACATGGAGATGGCTGCTCAGAGCCTTTCCCACGTTCCAGCCCAGCCTGGCCTCCTTATATAGCTGTTTCCAGCCTGGGCCTGTGTTCTCTGCCCCAAGGGAGCAGACCTGCGGGGACAGGGCCTCGGCCTGCTCATTTGCCTCCTTGGGGAAGCTTCCCCAAGATTATAGAAGGAGTATGTGCCTCTGTGTAATCCCAATCACATCAGAGCCAAAGGGCGAGCAGTATAATTACACAAAGGAGAGGCTTCTGGCCGTGGTCACGAGAAGGAAGGGGAACTTGTATTGCAGCCACAGACAGCTCCAAAGTCCATGATGCCCTTCCCCCGGGACCAGATGTAACTGCGGTTGACCAAGGTAGGGCTAATGGAGGAGACCCCTTCCCAGCCCTCTGCAAGTTAGTCACTGCCCAGGGTCCCAAGTAGACCTCCAAGATAACTGCCCCTAACCCCAGAACTAGTGTCACAGAGTCCTCCTTCCCCAACCCAGAATTTAGCACCTGGACACACTTTTCTGAAGCATCTTACCCCTTCTGTGGCCACGGGCCCAGGAGCTGGGCTTTCCCAGAACCACCAGGGACACAAGCACCAGCTGCATTTGGATCCCCTATTATTTATTCACTTTATTGCTATTTGTTTTAAAGGCATTTCAACTTTAGCCTTGGCCGGTGTGGCCCAGTTGCTTGGAGCGTCACCCTGTACACCAAAAGGTGGCAGGTTCAATCCCTGAGTCAGGTCAGGGCGTGTGCAGGAGGCAGCCAATCAATGTTTCTTCCTCTCTCTCTCTCTCCCTCCCTCCCCCTCTCCCTCCTCTGTAAGATCAGTTGTTTTTTTAAAAAGCATTTCAACTTCATTAAAGGAAAATCAAAGTCATCGGTAATCCTACCCCAGGCCCGGGGACCACCCTCCTTTGGGTCTGGGCTCATGACAAGGGCACTACCTTGGTGTGCTGACACATCAGCAATCTGCCCTTTCTCACTCTATCCGTGATTCCTGGACTCCCTTGGCATGGCTGACCTCCACGTAGGCCACCTGAGTGTACAGCCCACCACAGTGAATTGCCCCCTTTAGGAGCTCTGTCCTTTCTCTTCTGTTCCAGTAAATTCCCCTGGGGGAGGCCTCTTGGCCACAAGCTGGGGCATCTTTATGGCTCTTGGTTTATATGACCAAAGTGTAAGTCTTGTGTTGGGATCCTTGCTGGAGTTGAACCCAGAGCCCTGGCTAGATTAATGGGGCCTTGAACAGCAGTCTGGGACCCCATGAGAGAGAAGGGGTCTCCTGGGCCCAGCCTCTCCCACCCCAGAAATAAGGCAGATCCATCCTGCCTTGGCCCCGGCAGATCTTGTCCCACTCAGGCACCTCAAGGGGTGCTCAGGGCCTTTACGGCCCCACTGCCCAGTCACACCAACCTGGCCAGCAGGCTCCCCGCCTCGGGAAGCTGCCCTCAGCCCTCCTCTTCCCAGCCATCCCTGTGTAGTGGGCTGGTTCCCTGTTGTGTCCCCCAGCCCTAGGGAGCTTGGTGGACCAACTGGTGGGAGGGGTGGTGGTGACCTGGGAAGGTTCTAGACCTTTCAGAAGGAACACCAGTGCCCAGCTCCCACCTGCGCCTGCCTTTCCTCAGTATAGCAGCTCCTCAAATAATGTTTTATTCAACCTCTTTTGGTTATAATGTTGATGATGGGAGAAAGGCGGTTCCTAGCTGGGACCAGTGTGGCGTTTACATGTCCTCCCGTGTCTTTGCGGGTTTTCTCCATGTCCTCTCGTTTCCTCCGACATTCCAGAGATGTGCACGTGAGGTGAACTGGCATGTCTACAGCGTCCCAATCTAGTGTGGGAGTGTGTAAGTGCGACCTTTGATGGAAGAGTGTCCTGTCCAGGTTGGGGTCCCACCGTATACCCTGAGCCGCTGGGAGAGGCTTTGGCCGCCCGCAACCCTAAACTGCAACAAGCAAGTTGGAAAAGCATGAATATTTGTTTTTATTAATCTTTCTTAAATATAAGTATAGTTCATATTTATTTCAATGTTTAATATTAGAAGTGTTTTGGATTTTTATTTAGAAGTCTGGTGATGTTTTTGTGACCAGAAATATGCCACAGGAACTGAACTCCTTTATATCCGTTAGCCTCGGGTGAAGTATACATTGTTTCACTTCGAGTTGCAGTTTCCAAAAACCTATCCTGATGACACTGAGGACTTATTGTACATGTTCCTGTCCCCAGCCAAGGTCCACAGGACATTCGGAGTTTCCCTGCTTATCTGAGGCCACTGCGAGTTTTGGCTTGTAGATCCCAGTTTCCCAGAACCTGCCCCCACAGGGGCGGAGCAACTAGCAAGTTACTAATTCATTCCCCGGCTTCTCTCAAGTTCAGAAGCAGCCTGCCAGGCACTGGAGCCAAAATGAAGACCCCAGCTCCTGCCTGTGCCTGTGGCATCGTGCTGGCCCTGCTCTCGCGACTGGCCGTCCTCCAGACCGCTCGTGCCCAGAAGGTAGCAGTTGCCACGGGCCCCTGTGTGCACGCCGGAGTGCGTGGTGTGAGCTGGTGAATGAGTGACGCGGAGGAGAGTCTGTGTGTGCGAGGGTGTAAGTGCCAGTGAGCGCGGATCCGTGTACGCGCAGAGGAATGGCGCTGACCACCCACCAGGTACCGCCCGAGGGCTCTGGGCACACTCCCAGGCGCTAGCAGGGGCCCTGTGCCCATGTCCCGGGTGAGGAACTGCAATTTAGCAAGTTGCCCCTGGAGGCGGGCAGTGGGTGGGGAGGGCGGGAGTGGGCTTCGTGAGCCCCGCTCCACCTCTCCCTGGCTGAACAACCTCGAGGAGGGTCTGCTCCCTCTGTCTCACTTTCCTCATCTGTAAAGCAGGGTAATAATAGAACCTAGTCAGAGGCTTGTTGTGAAAATGAAACCTGTAACACTATGAAGTTAGTACAGTGCCTGGTGCGGAGTAGACACGCGTGTGTATACAAGCCACTCGGCCCGTCACCCACCTTTGCTAAGCTGTGTGTGCCGGTGAACATACGGACACAAGTGTGTCATATGCAGGCCGCCAGGAAGTGTGTAAGACTCCTCGTGTGTGCGCATGCGAACCTTAGACCCAGGTAGAAGAGCATATGCTTGGGTCACTGACCCTCTCTCCCGAGCCAGGGCCTGTGCTGCAGGATGGGGCAGCTGGGGGTGGGGTCCACAGCTGCAGGGAAAGGGGGCAAAGATTCCCAGCTCCTAGAGGCTGTGCCCTCGTCACCTCCAGTTTCTCCCAGCTGCTGTAGGCTCCTTGAGGGAGACTGGCAGGAACTGTTTTCTTTCATTTCCGTGGAGGCCAAAGTCGCCAGAAATCAAAGGACTTGTTACACTGGTCAGAGCTAAGACCATAAGCTTCCTGATCCCACCAGGGCCAGGATAAGTGAGAGTCCCCTCCCAGGGGACTCAGGCTGCACCCCCCATGCCCCTGCATGTTGACATACTTGTCCCTGCCCCATGGCACTGTAGGGTGGGCGATGAAGCACAAGAGCCGCCTCTTATTTGAGAGGAAGTTTCGCATATGAAGTGCCTTGCGAGCTTTAGCCTGAGGCCTGATCAGTTGCTCAGCCCGCTCAGCCCTGGTTGGGGTCCAGGGCTTGGTTGGGGACCTAGGTCAGGGCCCAGTCTTGAAGAGTGTTGTTCCAAGCTAGGCTGGCGTTGAAACAATCCCACCCTTCCTCCTTCACTGGTCCAGAATGACATCGACATCTACAGCCTCACTGTGGACTCCAAGGTCTCATCCCGATTTGCCCACACGGTCATCACCAGCAGGGTGGTCAACAGAGCTGATGCTGCGAAGGAGGTCACCTTCCAGATGGAGCTGCCCAAGAAAGCCTTCATCACTAACTTCTCTATGTAGGTGCCTTCTCGCCCACCTCCTTGTTCCCCTCCCCAACCCAGCACTGCCACCACGTTGCCCCTGTGTCCCTCAGGAGGCGAGGACCTTTTCCTGATGGGAGGTGTGTGTGCTCAGCCTGTAGGCAATACAGGGAGCCAGGGGCTTTGCCCAGGGACTTCATGCATTCTCAGAGATGCTTCCACCATTCCCTCATTCCCTACTCCCTTCACCCCTCTGATTCTCCCCCCATCCATCCCTCTATCCACTCATCTCTCCATCCATTATTTCATCTGTCCCTCCCTCCCTCCTCC